CAGGAGGGAACAGAATTGGATATACTAGCCCATCTCTACCGTGCTTAGTACCCAGCGATCTGAGGTAATCTGGGCCCAGGCACAGTAGAAGTGGGACAGATGTTTCGCAAAGGGGGAAGATGGACTGGGGCTTGTCCTCAGGCGCACCTTCAAAAATTAGGCTTAGGGCCAGGAGGCTGTTTGGACAAACCGTGGCCCTGGTCAGAGGAGGATCTCTATGGCCTCCTCCTGTTGTTCCTGCCCCTCCTTCTATTGAAGTCCTGCCTCGTGCTCCCCGAGTAGCAGCATAGTGGAGGCTGGGGCTTGAAGGGCTTCCTCTGCGGAGCAGGGGTGTGGATTCCCAGGGCGATGATGGGGGGCGGTGCCGCCATCGGTGCTGTCGTTGTCGGAGCTGTTGATGTCGGCGCCATGATAGGTGACGGTGCCGGGGCACGTGCCAGTGGGCCCGGGGATTGAGCCGTCATGGCGATCAGATCCCATGCGGCTTCAGATGTGTCCGGTGTGGTGGGAGGATCGAGGTCTTCTCCCTCCAAGTGCTCCGGCACCAGAGAGCCCACCCGCACCGAACTTGACGGCCCCCCTGTCACAGCCGGACTCGATGGCTGCAGGACTTGCAGGCCAGGTTTGGGGTGTCCCAACACAGGACACACCCCACTGGTGTGCCGTGCTGGCAAGCAGCCCTTGACCACCTTCTTCGTCTTATGCAGCACTGGCGATTGTGAATGGTGCTGCAAGGTGGAGCTGGGCCTCGGGGCCGGAAAGCGGTGCCAATGCTCCTTACCTGAGTCCTTCCTCAGTGCCGAGGGTTCCCGCGCCGGTGCGCTGCGCATCAAGGCTGTGGGCGAAGTGCAGATTTCATTAGGAGGCGCTTCAGGCGAGAGTCTCTCTCCTTCTTTGTTCTGGGCTTAAAACCCCTGCAAATCTTGCACCTATCCGCCTGATGACCCTCCCTGAGGCACTTGAGGCAGGATTCGTGCAGATCACCACCTGGCATAGGCTGCAGGCACGTCTCACAGGGCTTAAACCCTGGGACCGAGGCATGCCCCAATCCGGGGGAAAGGGAATCGGGGAAGATCTTCCAGCTAAGTACTATTCAACTAATTTAATTAACACTACTGGGTGACGATTTACAACTATTCGAAGAAAGACCTCTAAGTAGGCACTTGCAATACGCAAGACCGAGCTGCTCCAACAACCATCACTGGCGGTAAGAAGGAACTGAGCAGGCAGCGGGTCAGCAAGGACCTGTATACACTGCTGTAAAGGCGCCACCCCAGGGGGCTCCACAGCTGACCTGACAGGTACCGCTAGAGGAAAAACCTTCCGACAATCATGCACGCGGCGCGCGCACACCTAATTGGAATGGACATGAGCAAGTACTCGAAGAAGAAGCCATAATTTCTGTATTTAGAGACAGTGTGTGAAATTGTCAAGGAAATGCTACCATGTGGCTTTGGATTACATGAATTAGCATCAGCTCTGACCTCCTATAACTATTCATGGCAATGATTTTCTGTCATGTAAAACTCGGCTTCAGCCCCCAAAGGAGAAACGCTGCAGTAAAGACTTTCAAATGTTTGGCTACTTTAATAGAATTTTGAGGAAACATTTGGAAGATGGTCTCCTCTGAACTGTAGTGTGTAACATACCCAGGAAGCTGTAGATCTCCTTTGCAATCAAACTGGCGGCTGCTACCCTTGAGCATCTATAGAGCTTCTGTACTCTTTGTTAAAGCTAAGATTTTGTCACGGATATTTTTAGTCTGACTTTTACTAAAAATATCTGGGACAAAATGGGGATCTGCGGGTCCCCACATCACCTGAAGTGGGGCAGCTGTGCAGGGGCTAGGAGCCACCTGCAGCAGCTGGGGATTGTGGGGTACACCTGCCACCTGCAGATTGGGGGGGGTCCCCTGCTGCTCATGGGGGGCCTGGGAGCTGGGGGTTCCCCCCCACCTTCAGGGGCCGAGGGCTGTGGGGTGCCACCGGCTCCTGTGTCAGCTGGGAGGTACCCTGACCACTCATACCTCTGGGGGCCTGCGGTGGCTGGGACCTCAGGGTTTTGTTTTTTTTTAATTTTGAGATATACCTATCTCATAGAACTGGAAGGGACCCTGAAAGGTCATCAAGTCCAGCCCCCTGCCTTCACTAGCAGGACCAAGTACTGATTTTTGCCCCAGATCCCTAAGTGGCCCCCTCAAGGATTGAACTCACAACGCTGGGTTTAGCAGGCCAATGCTCAAACCACTGAACTATCCCTCCCTCCCGCTGCCTGCAAGTTTGGGGGTTCCCCACCACCTCTGGCGGCCCCCGCAGCTCCTGGCCCCCATGGGCAGCAGAGGACACTGCTGAAGTCACAGAGGTTGCTGGAAGTCACGGACTCCATGACTTCCGCGACCTCCGTGACTTAATCGTAGCCTTAGTCATTGTCAATATAAATGAGAGTCCCAGCTATGGAGGCCGTTTGTTTAACATAACCTTGAGGAAGGCATTGCTTCAGATAGAGGCTCTGGGCTAGATTCACAAGGGGGACGTAGTTGTCTACCTGTCCCTTTAGGTGCCTAAGTCCAGCGTTTAGGTGCCACTGGCAGTCACAAAACCACACTCAGCTGCTGCCTAATCATATAGGTGCCTGAAGTCCCCAGGGCACCTACATTTCTGCCAGTGGACATGCACACCGACACCTAAGTCCTGACACCACCAAGTAGCTTGGTGTTCTAGCTCATGCCCAGCCCTGGTGGGATTTTCAAATCAGTTATTCTCCCACCTGTCTTGCCTGCAGGGCCTCATCAGGACATGCTTCCCACATGTGGCACCACTGCCACAGAGGAGGCAGTGGTGCCACTCACCTTTTATGCACTACAGCCCAGCAGTTAGTTGCACTCATCTGGGATGTTGTGGGAGACCCAGGTTCATGTCCCTACCCTGCCTGATTTGGAGCAGGGACTTGAACCCTGGTTTCCCACATCCCAGGTGAGTGCCCTAACCCAGGGTCTTTTGAGCATAAGGGGGCCACCACCATTTCCTCCACCTCCTCCTGGGTTTTTTGCAAGAAAGGACTGATTTGACTTAGAGCCTAACTCCAGGAAAGGGTTCAGAGCTGTGAATTCCAAGTGGATGGAGACGCCTCCCTCTGGTGGAGTTAGGCACCTAATTCCCTTGGAGGGGGAGGGCTTAGACCCACCCCTTCCTCCGCATTTCCTACTGGCTAGTTTTGGCAGCTCAGTGTGGTGGTTTCTGTGAATCCCTTTCTCAGGCACCTGACTCTCCCCCAGCATTGTGGAGGGACCCTGAGCACCTAACTCAGGGTCAGGGCCGGCTCTGGCTTTTTTGCCGCCCCAGGCAAAAAAGCCTCCGGCCGCCCCCCCCGCGGGAGCCGGAGCCAGGGGGGGCGGCCGGAGCCCCG